CAAAGGCAGGGGATAGATTACACACACACACACACACACACACCCCACATTCACAATATTTACAATATTTACAAAAAATAATTGAATGGGTTTTGAGTGAGAGAGTCCGGTTGAGTTGGGTTTGCCAGGTTGGTTTGAAAAGGTGGAGCGTGTACTTTGCAGTAATCCAGTTCAGGTTATTGTCTCAGTTTGTGGTGTTTTACTGTATGAGGGAGACTGCCCGCCTCCTACCGCACTGTAGGGTTGACAATCTCTAGGTTTTCAGCCTGGGGCAGCTCGCCATCAGAAGAAGTCCATATGGATGGACGGATCCAAGGAACCTGGCCTGCATGACAGGACCAATATAAATATCCAACAGTTTCATTTAGCAATACATCACTACTACAAAAATACATGTACAATAAATATATACTCAAATAATCAGAGTGCTCATTCTCACTTCATAATTCACAATTAATCCTCTGCACCATAAATCACAATACAATTCATTCAGTTCAGTGCACATATCAAAAATAAATGTATTAATACTTTTGGTTCAAGAGCACACAAGCAAATTTCAGGCTCTGGTAACCATACATGAGCACATAAAAAAGCATAGGCACCTACACAGAGAAACAACATGAGAACAACAATATACAGATCAACATCGCATCAGAGGCTAGCGCTAGCATTCTAGCTCTGTGCAGCACAAAAATGCTTAAACTCACCAGTTCCCTCTTTGATTTCACGCACAGAGTGTTGACAGCGTGTCTAAGTGATTGTAGGAGGCGTCTGCAGTGAATGGCACACCAGTTACTACTTTGAATGTGCAAAAAGAAGTTTAAATCTCGCATACACCTGCAGCTCCTGGCTCCACCCACAGCTACACACACCGGTGAGGGAAGCACGCAGCTTATCCCCGCGGTGGTGTCCGCTGGGTCCTAGTGCCGGCCACAAGAGCGCTCAGACAAAGAGGGAGATGCTCTTATTTTTAAGACAGGACAGATACAGTGAGAATAATGCGGAGGTGGCGGCGTGCCAGTGTTTATTCCGCGGCGTGCCACTTGTGGCACGCGTGCCCTAGGTTGCCGACCCCTGGACTAGAGGCCATCATATGTGCTGGTCAAACAAAGAGTGGTCTCTCTCTTTCTGGTCTCTCTCTGATCTCTCTCTGGTGTCTCTCTGATCTCTCTCTGGTCTCTCTCTGGTCTCTTGCTGGTCTCTCTCTGATCTCACTCTGGTCTCACTCTGGTCTCTCTCTAGTCTCTCTGTGATCTCTCTCTGATCTCTCTCTGGTCTCTCTCTAGTCTCTCTGTGATCTCTCTCTGGTCTCTCTCTGGTCTCTCTCTAGTCTCTCTGTGATCTCTCTCTGGTCTCTCTCTGGTCTCTCTCTAGTCTCTCTGTAATCTCTCTCTGGTCTCTCGCTGGTCTCTCTCTGTTCTGTCTCTGGTCTGTCTCTGGTCTGTCTCTGGTCTGTCTCAGGTCTGTCTCAGGTCTCTTGCTAATCTCTCTGTTCTCTCCTTGGTCTCTCTCTGGTCTCTCACACACATTTCAGTAGGTGCTCTGTCTAGAGCATGGAGTTGTGCATTTTTTAAAAAGTGGAAAGGGAGCTTCTTTCGTAGAATTCAGGAAAATCCTTCTATGTACCTTCAAATACAATGACTTAAAATATGAAATACGTGCACAAAACTGGCATTTGTTCAGTTTTATCTGTAGCCAATTATTTATTTGTTTGGTCACTGCTTCCTAATGAATGACCTTTTTTATAACACATACTGATTTATTCAAGTCAACCCAATGAAAATTCAGACATATTTGTTGAAATATCTTTTGTGTGCGGCGCTTTCAGCAACTGGGCTTACCTATAAATGCCTCCTACCTGATGGCTGCATGATAGCCCTTAACACCAGGAGTCTGAATCCAAGGGGGAATAGGTCATCATTTTATAGCCTCAAACTGTCAGTGCATCCGTCATTACAAGCACTTGTGTAACAGCAAAACACAGAGCTATTTCTCAGAATCGCCTTGATATTTCCCTGACGCTGTGGTGTGTCCGTTTGACAAGTGTGCGACTCTGGTGGGAAATACATCATCTACAGTGTCTTTGATTGGTGGTTTAGCCTCATAACGCAGCCGCTGGAGCGTGGCCATGCAACCTGAGTATTGATCTGGAGAGCGTTTGGTCTTCGGTCCGACACGGTGTAGAATAGTGCTGTTGAGGTCAAGACAAATAATGTACGTTCAATCAATATCTGCTCAAATAATTAGAACAGCTTATGTTTGTTTGTTCTTTAACACCAGGACACCCAGATGTATGAAAATACTAGAACTCCCAGAACCGTCATTTTGACTGCTTACATTCAAACCAATGGAAATCTGAAAAAATATCCCAAAAAAATATTTAGTTTTTTTTTGTAAATATTATTTGTAATTTATGAAGTGTTAACCTTTACTTACTTTTAATTTGTGCTAAGACTGGTTTTATTAGCTGGTCTTAGCTCATACTAAAAAAAAGTTTAGTGAAAGGCTAAATGATAACTGTGTGTAAACAATGTGTTGCTATGGTAACTGGCACTGTCCTCTCTGGTGGAAAACCAAACTGACTCAGGACCAGGACCAGTCCAGAACCAGCACCATGTAAAAAAGGCTTTATCTGACATTAGATGTTGGTTGCCAAGCGACCGAAAACAGCTACAAATGGATTTTGAATTCAAATTATTGGAGTTAAAGGCAGAACTCCTACTTACAGATAAGATACTTTCATGGAAATAATGACACACAAAAAAAAAACATATAGGTAAAGGAAAAGTCACAAAGTTATGCAGTCCAAAAATGAGCTGAGTGTACTCTGAAAGGCGTCAAATTGACTCTCTGGGAGTGTTAAATGTAGTGCCAAGAATACTCAGGCTGCAAATAAACCTGCTCACTGATTACAATATTTTTTTTCATGTTTTGATCCTATGTTCAGGTATAGTACAATGAATTCCAGCCTACTCTTATTATGACCCGTCACTATAGGGAACGTGGGCCCGGATCCTTCCCTCGCACGCAAGTTTAAAAATATGACTTCCACCCCAGAATAACATATTAAAGCATGATGTATGAGACCGGAGAGTGCTCAATTAATTTTCTGTGCCAGGTAATGTGAAAGTGCCACGGGCTTGGTGTATTAGCTGGAACTAAATGAAATAATGCAGAGTCCATGGTTCACCGCGACAACCAGGAGCACATCACCTCCAATCTATTTGGGCAAATCAATCAGCAGCACTGGGACAAGATCCATTATCCCGCTCCAGATCTCTCAATGTCAAAAGCGCTTTTCCTTTCCTTCCTCATCACATTTTCAATCAATTGTTTTCTGAATTAGCTGTCAAAAAATCATTGTACAAAAACCCGTTCAAGTCGTTGATTGTCGAAATAATTTTGCTCAGTATCATTTGAATACAAGGGCCATGCCTACACTTCTGTCTTATAATACTATATCTAACTGTTTGGTGCTGCACTGCAAAAAGTAAAAAGTAAAATAAGCTAGAAATTGCTCTAGAAAATAATCTAAAACACACTCAGGTAATAGACTAACAGACTTAAACTTCCTGATCACATGTATAGACATAGTAGTGCCCTGTATTTTATGTATTTGAACATAAATTTCCCTACTGTGGGACGAATAAAGGTTATTTTATGTGTATGTGTATTTTGTAAACTTGTGAAGCACCTTGTGAATTTATTTGCCTATAAATAAAAGTTATTTCCTGACTTATTGTTGACAAAGCTGTAGAAATCTGTCTCCGTGAGCTTTTCTACTCCCACTACACCCTTGTCGCTTATCAAGATGCTGATTATGCCACTGGCTTTCATCACGCAGCACAATGCCACAGATGTTGCCAGTTTTGAGGGAGAGTATATATAGAAGTACCTCAGAGAGGCCGCTCCTCACCGGGGTCTCCACCTGACTGCAGTTTGTCATTGTACCGGTCCAGAGTGGGCTCGTGCTCGCTTTCAATAGTGACTGACATGTTGGAGAATCATCGTTTTTTGAGGATTAATCGAAATGGATGGTTTTCACCTTTCAGGACACAACAACAGAAGTGTTTTTGTCCCAGTTTTGGTGAGTGTAGTTTAACTTACTGCTGTCTGAGTGAAGGAAGCAGGGTTAAGGCATGGCTGGGCTTACATTGGGAACAACCGACACAGGTGAACTTTGAATACAGAGACCAAGATCCTCCTACATTTTTGAATTAAAATTACAAATCTTTTAAAGTCGCAAGTCAAGTTGAGTTTTCAGAAAAGAATGCATCTCTAAAGCATGTCCCAATTGCTTATTTGAGCGTAGAAGTAAAAGCGTATCTAATGTACGACAAATACCAGGCCTCAACACTTGTCTATACTGTTAGAGGGTCTATCTAAAAGTACAATTATGATGATCCAGGACACTTAAATAAACATTCAACAACATGTATGGACATTTAGCATAATTTATGGTCATAATCATGTCATCTGCCCCTTATGGACCAATGGCACTATGTGTTTTTATTGTTGCATTTTTGGGGTTGAATTTTTGATTCTCTCATCTTTGTTGGCAAAATAAGGCCACCGAGATAACTAATGTTGTGATTTAGGGCCATACAAGAATTCCTTTAATTTAATAGAATTGATACCGTTTCCTTGTACGTTTTGGTAACAACAACCGATACAGTACTTCAGTATATAAGCTTTTTGTATCATCAGTCCATAGCAGGGGTTTAAGTATCAGTCTGATGTCGACTTACTGATTTTTGCTTATGTTCCTCTGTCCCTGTTATATTTGTTATATTTGTACAGATATTATTCGTTACAAGGTTTTCAGTTTAATACATGAGCATGACTTCACCTGTAGAAAGAATACAAGCCAAGACAGATACATGGAAATGTATTCTCTTTTGGGCATGTAAGTCTCAGATTCGCCCAGACAGCTGAGGCAAACTTCAGAGAGAGGCACAGGAACGCAGGGAGGACATGCAGACCTTACAGTCCAGGAGCTGATGCCTGATCTGAGCCAAGACCACACTGCTGCTTCCCCTCTGCCACAGCCCTCAAACTTCTACTATAATGAGAAAGTGCTGATGTCACAGGTGATATTTCATCCAAAGACTCAAGCTACAAATAATGTTAACATAGCATGCATATATCTACTGTTCCATCTGAAATAATGCAGTTATTGATATTTGATACAAGTTGACATTTGATGCATTAGTGAGTAAATAAAAGATGATTAATATTATCTCCCTTTTGGCATCATTTTTTTAGCCCAAATAACTGTAATAGACTTTATGTCATCAAAAGCAACACATCAATAATTGCACTACCTTTCACATATACAAAATACACTGATGGTTTTACGTTGAAACTCTTGCAATTGTCACAAGTAGATTGCATGTCTATATCTACTAGTAGTAGTAGTAAGTAATCTTTATTTATATACCGCCTTTTCACATCAGATCTGAGTCTCAAAGCGGTTTACAATTGTTAATTTTTGGGCATTTGTCTCTCACTCCACACAGAGATGGGAGCGGGGTCGCCAGTACAGGAGGCGCATGCCAAAACTATTGGACATATTTTTAGTGGTACGGGAAACCGGAGTGCCCAGAGGAAACCTACGCAGACACGGGGAGAACATGCAAACTCCACTCAGAAAGGCCCTGGTCCGACCGGGATTTGAACCCAGGACCTACTTGCTGAGAGGCGAGAGTGCTATCCAATCAGCCACCGTGCCGCCCGGTAGATAGATAGATATCTATCTATCTATCTATATATATACTGTATATGCCAGATAGACACACAAATACATACAAATATTTCCAAGCCAAAATATTATGTACCACCACCAAACGCTATAAAGTCTTTAAAACAGAATTTTCAAATGTTTATGCATTTTACATGATAATTAAAAAACAAATGTCAAATAGCTCAAAATCTTCTCTAGAGATATGGCTTTAAAATGTTAATACCACCTCAAAAACAGATAAACATGTCTTGCAAAGGAAGAGTCAAACTTTAAAACACCCCGGATTAGTAAAGCACATAAAGTGGGTCACCAATTTCTCCTCAAGTTTGTGCTATTGCTCTGACAGCAGCACTGTGAGAAAAACCTTGCTTGGTAAATTGCAGTTTTTGGCTCAAGTATTGCTCTCAAATCATAATCACAGTAATTTCGCCTCCAAACTTTTCAACAAGCACACTTGGTTGAACCCATTACACGCAGAGTCTAATCAGTTGACATGTTTAACGACTAAAAGATCTGGAAACACTGACAAGTCTTAAAAGTAGATTCAGAAAAAAGTTGGAAAATCTACACTTTTGTATGGATCTAATTATTTCGGCTTCCACCCTTTTATCACTTTTTTCTTCAATTGAGGTTAAAATCATTTCTTTTTAGCTTTGCAATGAATGAAAGGATTGTATATATTTTATGTACTATGATGGTTTATGATTTTAATTTGCATGATTATTTAAACCTTGTTTGGTCAACCAAGGTGCCTTGTGTATGAGCTGTTCTATCCAAAAAAAAAAAAAAAAAAGAATAAAGGCAGGCGTTGCAGATTTGCAACAACTCGATTTCTTATTACCTACTCCACTCACATATTTTTCACCTTTTTTATCCCAGTAGTACCCAGTAGTACTAAGTGCTGGACTTAGTAGAGTTTTCCACCTGCTCACCAGGGGGCGGAGCTGTCTCATTTCCAAAATGTCAGTCCCCCTGTTTTCACCAAAACGGATTTTCTAGGAATCAATTTCAAGTCAGTCTCACAACCAAGATCTAAAACTAAACCAAAACTGCATACAATAAAAGATGAATATATATATTCGTTTTCATGACTATGAAAATTGTAGATTCACACTGAAGGCATCAAAACTATGAATTAATTCATGTGGAATTATATACGTACAAAAAAAAATGAAACAACTGAAAATATGTCTTAAATTCTCGTTTCTTCAAAGTAGCACCTTTTGCTCTGGTTACTGCTTCACGCACTCTTGGCATTCTCTTGATGAGCTTCAAGAGGTAGTGACCTGAAATGGTCTTCAACAGTCTCGAAGGAGTTCCCAGAGAGGCCCAGCACTTGCTGGCCCTTTCGCCTTCACTCTGTGGTCTAGCTCACCCCAAAACGTGAAAAATGTAAAACATCCGCACAGCTATGTTGCTCCCAATCAGTGTCTTTTATTTAAAGACCACATAGTCACGTTTTAGGCTGAGGCCCTTCATCATGTATGTCTTCATCAGACATGTCTGTAGATACAGTACATGCCAATTAGTAGATTATTTCTCCTCTGGGTTTTTCCCCTGAGTCCGCTCTATTTACCACGGCGGGCCAATGTTGCAAATAGCAGCATAGCAACATAGCAGAATTCATTGCCTGTGAAGGTCTCTCACAAAATAAGTCAGGATTGTTTACTACTACCCCATGTGATCATTTTCCCCAAATATATATTTTTTCCTTTCATTAAAATTGAATTGGGCCCTGAGAGGGTTAACCTGGGTTTATTTAGTAATTCAGTTCTCAAACTCTAGTTTCTAGTCTGTCTCCCGTATCCAAAATGTATGAGAAAAACCTCACTTGATAAATTGCAGTTTTGGCTCAAATAAATCACTCTCAAATCGTAATCACTGTAATTTTGCCTACAAACTTGTCAACAAGCATACTTGGTTGAACATGTTTCATGCTGAGTTTAATCAGCTGACATGTTTAACAACTAAAAGATCTGGAGACCCGCCACAAATAGTCTAGTAGTTTCCTTTAGCTTCGCACAAAGTTTTCAAACCTGGTTAGACAGACGGCGAATGAGCAGTAGGGACACGACGTGCAATATCGTAAATCACTTTTTTATTGCAGACTGGCACTGAGCCCCATTATATGAAAGCTTATGTGAATGTTATCTACTGTACACAAATGATCTACAATCACTATTTCAACCTCTGTCAACATTAATGGAGGTTGTAATGGAAAAGTCTCCCATTGTAGAATTAAATCCACCACATCATTGCACATTACTTATCAAGAATTATGGATCGTAATTGGGAAAGTTGGGAGAGGACACAGGATTACATAATGCATCCTCACTGATATATTTGACACCATGGAGTACTAATTTTAGTCTGGAGGGAGGGCTGCACCTGGAGCTGTCAAAACTGTGCCTCTTACGCAACGCTTGTGGAACGTTGTGCAATAAGTACCACTGCCAAGTCTTAAAAGTAGATTCGGAAATAAGTTGAGAAATCTACACTTTTGTACAGATCCAATTATTTCGGCTTCAACCCTTTTATCACTTTTTTCTTCAATTATTGGTGGGTGGTTTTAAGGTTGCGTTCTCTTTGTTAAACCTTACTTTGAAAATGTTTGAATTCAGGTTAACTTCAGTTCTTTTTAGCTGTGCGTATAACAGAAGGATTGTATTGTCTTTCGTTTTGACTCAACTGATGTCTGGTGTCGTTGTGTCCTTGGGCAAGACACTTAACCCACTTTGCCTGTAAGGAGTGCGGAAGTGATGTTCGCTGCTTCCCCATTGTGGGACGAATAAAGGACCTTCTTAATGCATCCTGTATGATTGTAATGCATTGTATGGTTGTTTCTATCTTGTTTTGTTAAGCACTTTGAGTTACATTGTGTATAAACTGTGATATACAAATAAACTTATCTTGGCTTTCCTTACCTAAATACATGTGTGCATTTATCGAGAATGATAGTTATATTATTTAATCACGTCTATTTGGGTTTTTAGTCTTTCTTCAGTATCCACAATTTCACAATGCCATTAAAGAATATTTGAATGATTTAAGTGAGCATTATTATCTCAGTTGACACATTTGACATATTTCATCATGTATTTTTCAATTCATAATTTTACTTCCTGGTTGTGATCAATTTTGTCTTGGAGGAACATTTTCACATTTTGTTCGGATTTCTTTATTCACACTTGCAAGTAAGTAAGTAAAAAAAAAAATAGGTTAGATTGCCAAGATTTTAGAATTTTTCATAAAATTCTGGGAGTCCTAGTGTTAAAGTAATTAAAATTCAGTTTCAAAGAGTCTAATACGATACATCAAGCGTTCTGTGTGTTCTCCTTTTATCTCTTTTACAGGATCAAAGCTTATGGAAAGTTTCTGCACAGATGGTGGTGTTCAAAAAGACTTAGTGGGCTCGGATGTAAATGCACGCACACCTGTATTTGCGACTCGTGTCAAGGGCTTGAACCATCACGCTCCGTTAGATCCATGTTTCACAAGCCACTGACTCCAGCTCCAGGAGACGCAGAGAGCGCTACGGGGCAGATGTTTACTTATACGTGAAAAGACAGTCATTTGGAAAGTTCAATTTGAATAGATATGTAACGTTTTCAAGCTGTATGTGAGAACCAACTTTCCCACCCCAGAGTAATGTAGTAGTAGTTGTAGTAATCTATTGCAGACATGTCAAACTCAGGCTCGTGGGCTAAATTCGGCCTGTAAGAAAATAAATTGTGGCCCCCAATATGATTTTCAATTGTTATTATTAACTTGCAGCATTGATGATTACGGGCAACCCAATGCGTGTTATACATAATCTATTTTCTCAGCAAAACAAGCAAATTCTGGTTAAAATATTCTAAAATTTTAACCATACCCATTATTGGAAGTTAAATATAAAACTTTTTATTTGGTCCAGTTTTGGTTAAATATAAAGAAAAAACACATTTTATTTTTAGACAAATCCACCAGAAAGTAATAGCAAAACTCATGTCACATAAAAGTCATGTCAAAATACCTCCACAATGTAAAAAACATTCATGAAAAAAGGAAATTCTTTCTATTCTTTCGGCCCCAGACCAGTTCCTATTTTTTCTTATTCGGCCCCTGACAAAAATGAGTTTGACACCTCTGATCTATTGTATCCTGTTCATTGATCTTTACTTTTTGGTACACACATTGAAATACAAACAATAGTACGCAGCCCTCACACTCATAAAAGGAAACTCAAAATAGACAAGACAGCCCCAAACACTCTCTGACCTTACACCTCTCTCTCATCACTTACTCTGTGTTGAGGGCATAACTCTCAGTGCCTACTTCTCACAAACTTTTGCATTGCTAATTCAT